GGTTCAACATAAATTCATGAGATCCTGTGCATAATATAAAATGAACATCCGTATTGATAACCATGACTATACCTCTATTCAGAACATTCTTAACCACTACTCTTTAAATAAAAGAAGAGCAATTGCTGACCTGATGATTATATTTAAGTTGATTGGAGGCCTTGTTATTTGTCCTGAGCTCCTCGAAATGATATTTTTACATGTACCAAGTAGAATTCTCAGGAATTCTGATATGTTTCGAATTTCGTTTCATCGTTATAACTATGGTATGCATTCTCCTATTGATCGTACCATAGATCGTACACTCAGATTGGTGAATGAGAAAAACATAGAGATAACGGGCATAACTCTTACTGCATTCAAAAGTAATGTATTGAGGGCATTGTGAGCATCATTATTACATACAGGGTGGCCCACCGAAAACTTGACATGAGGGTTTTGGGTTCTAATATCGTAGATCTAGAAAAACGCTCGGACAGGTCGATTTTAGTTTCGAGGGGGACATTGTGCCCTCTTACATGCAGCACCGTCACGTCAACCCTCGAGCAGGGGGGTGAACAACCCTTGAAATTTGAATAGGGAATAGGAGTCGAGTGGCACATCGTTTGAAAGCCCGTTGAATTCTCGAAACAACGGTCGTCAGTTTTTCAACCGGAATGAGCCATAATCAAGTTTAAGAGTAAAATTCACCTACATTATTCTCAACAAATGCTCGAAATGCGAACCTCCAAATTCCATGCAATGATTTTGGAGCATGTCTGGGGTGATTTGGCGACACTCTTCTGTGATTCGTTGCCGTAAATCTGCTAGTGAAGCTGGTGGTGTACTATAAATTCTGTTTCTCAAATGACCCCACAGAAAGAAATCTAAGGGATACAGGTCTGGTGATCGTGGTGGCCATTCAATAGAACCTCACCTAACAATCCAATGACCAGGTGCACCAGCAGTTCCAGATACATTTCCCCTGTTAGATTGAGTTCTTAGAAGAAAGGGTCCACGATACGATCCTCAAAAATACCAGCCCATAGGTACATTTAATTTTTGGGGATATTGCGTATGTACCTCATGAAATATATGGAGATTAAAATCAGCCCAATATCGACAATTATGGCGATTAACTATGCCATTTAAAAAAAACGAACATTCATCACTGAAACAAATGTTGAATAGACATTGAGGATTTGCAATCTCCTGCTCACTTAGCAGTTCTTGTGTTGATTTGATTTTGTATGGATGTAACTTATGTAGTTTTAAAATACGCTGAATGCTAGTTCTTGAGATACTATTTCATAATTGTTGAAAGTGAAAAATTCAATATCTACCATTATTTGCACTTCATTTGGCGGCGACAACCCAATGACTTATACTTTAAATCCTTATATAGATCACCCCGTAACTTCAACTTGCGTCGTACATTACTTAGCTGGTTCTTATTGCTAAATCCTAGGTCTCAGGTAATATGTAATACTAGGTTTATCATCATACACCATACATAACATGCGGGATACCAAACCGTGACAAAAACGGAATTTATGTCGATAATTATATTAAAAAAAACAACTAGGTCATCCCACTGTTCAATAAACATTTTTTTCCTAATAATGTAGAAAATTAGTCACAGACAAATTGTTGTACAACGTAACGATAAACGATGCTTGAGAAAGTGTTGGGGTATTTAGAGCGAATATTGCATTTTTGTGTATAGGATCTATGAGACTATCGCGAAATGCATACCCTTAGCATACCATCTCCATACCATACATGATGTTTTACAATCACGGTTTATTTTTTCGCAAAAAAAAACCTTCCTTCGTCAAAAGTATTTCAATGTTCGAAGATCATCGTAAGTTATAAGGAGGATAGGGAGAGGAGGTAGGTATTGGATTTTAATGAGGAAAATTCACTGACTCGAATACTTTTTTAGACTGATTGAATCGAACCATAAGCAGTGGAGGACCGATAACATTTTTATGTAGATGCATAGATCTAAAAGATGTTATTGTCTACCTGTTAGATTTGAGAATGTTTATGACAACCACCTAATAAATTAAAATCTTTTATACCTGCAATTCAGGTACGATTACATTCATAATTTTACCCAATTATATAGTTGGGTCAAAATTTGGAATGAGTACACCTCTCAGGTAGCAGTGACGTCTGGATGGAGCCTAAATGACGGAAATTGCCACAGGCAAATGACTTCATCTTCATCATGTATGTAGGACGTCAGTTCTAAAAAAACATAGTTCTTGAATATGTATTGGATGTTTATAATATATTGCTTAATTAATTCATTGAACTCAGGTACCATTTCGAAACAGTCCAACACAGCTTTTCCGTATAAGTGTTACAATAGTTAGTTTATTGGATTTCCTTGGATTTTCTTGGAATTCCCTGGAATTCCTAGGAGTTTCTTGGTATGCCTTGTGTGAAGTGCGGTATAATTCTGGTGTACAAACAACTGGAATTCCTTGTGAAATTGAAGTTTGGTGTACACAATTTTGACCGCGGTTTACCCCTCGTAAATAACTATATTATGACATACAGGGTAAGTCAGTTTTTTGTAGGACTTTAACAGCTGAGAGAAGACATTTTTTACATATGAAAATTCTATGAAAACATAATATACGCGTGGGAGCGATACACAGGGTTTCAAAGTTCAAGATTTTTTTGTGTGTTTCCGATTTCCTCCTACAATCACCAAAATAATGATTTGAAATTTGGTACACCTACAGGATGATACACTTTTGAGGGTCGTACTCGAATTAACCCTCCCGACCTCTTTTGCGTACCGCCCCTGTTTTCTATAAAACATCAATTTAGATTTACCCTTCAATACTTTTTGCTCCTTTCTGTTTTTCAGAAAACTGTATGGGTTTCAAGAAAACTGCCAAAAACAATTTTCTTGTAGTAATGATACTTCAGTTTTCGAATCCGTATTTTGTAGCAGGATTTCAACAGCTTGAAGATGAAAACCTCATGTTAACATATTATGCGTGAAGGCTAGCGGCAGATTTACCAGTACGCTTAACATCTCGCTTAACATCTCGCTTAACATGCTTAAGCTTAAGACCTCGACCCTTGCAAGGGCTCCGACCCTTGCAGTGGCCCCGCGGGTGCCCTGGTATTACATCATTATTTTTCCGTATCATTTGTTTGTATAAATGATATAATGACAAGAATAAATGTTTTCTGTCAGCACATCATTTCGTTGTCAACCTCGAAAGATGTCGAACAGCACTTTATCAAGACTTCTTGATCCATAGAACGGCTAGGCTCTGGAATTCATTGCCTGTGGAAGTATTCCCAACAACATATAATCTCCAAAAGTTCAAAAAAAATTCCAATACCTACCTCCTGTCCCTATCCTCCCTAGGAACGCACGATGTTCTTTGAACATTATAGGGATTCCCTTTCGTGCGCTCCAAGCGATAAAAAAAATATTATAGCAGCAGCAGCAACCACTCACCGCACCACACAAGAAAACCACATCATAACCTTGGTAAGAACCACACATTTTTCGAGATATTGGAACTTGTAAAAAAAATGATTTCCATCTCAAATCATTCTTTCATGTTCTGAGCAAATAATCGTCAAATTGAATAAGTAGCATTTCATTTCGTATTAATTCTTATTTTCGATGAATATTACTGAATAGTAGTTGTATCCATCGCCGAAGGTAGATTTCTGGTAGCAGCGAGGGTAGCAGTCATTTACGGTACCAAAAGGATTATGCACCGATTTGGACCTATCATGATTTATATTGTGAAACTTTGTTTCAAAAGTTCATTTAGATCCTATAAATGAATCAATAATATTTTATCGACAATCAGAACAAAAAAGAGCTTCTTATTTGTTTGGAACAAAAAAGAATGATCTGAGTAGGAATTCCATTTGTTTTATAAAAGTTTCAATATCTCGAAAATAGTGAAGTTTTTACTGTAACATAATCAATGGCCAGTTGCGAAGCAGTGCGTTCATTTTCAAAATTAATAACAATTGAAAACAAATATAGAACAGTAATGACCGATAATGACGCAGAAAAGATTACAATATTTGGGAATACTTTCGATCGAAAGTGATTCGACAAACAGTTTGAATCGGTTTGAATTATGATGGTGCGAAAAAGAATTCGCAGATTTGAAAGAAAAGAATGCTATATCGTTATATGTTTCTCCTAGTGATTTCGATATAGTTTAATTACTGTATTTACTTGAAAACATTCTAGTTTGCAGGTATCTGAACCTAATCAGTGTTATAGTTTCTTCTATTTCATGTGGTTTATTGTTTTTATTCGATTTTCAATATATTTTTGATATTTTTCATATCCCATGAATGTTTATCAATAAATGTTTTATTTTGTTTTTGTTTGTATTCAGGAGAAATGAAAGGGTTTACAAGGGCCCAAAATTATTAAGCTTAGGGCCCAGAAATCGTGTATCCGCCTCTGGTGGGAGCATCGTTTCCGATATACAGGGTTTCAAAGTTTTCAAGTTTTCTCCTACATTTTTCAAAATGATGAATTGAAATTTGGAACACCTGGTACACTCTGGAAAAAAATGTATCCTTTAAGCTGTAAAGTCCTGCAACACAACCGAGCGAATGCACAAGTCGCAAGGATTCTTATTTGGACACATCAGCTAAAGTAATCATTGCGCCAAAACAGCTTTTTGGTCATTTGAAGATTTGTACAAGCTGCATACACGTAACTGTTTAATCAAGTGAAGAAATTGTGTATTTAGTGAGACATTTTATTATTAAATCAGTGCTATAAGTCAATATTATGCCGCTCGATATATGCCTCATTTTAGTTCCAACTGCAATCGAAGGGCACCTAAGGAGACGTCTAAAGTGTGCTATCTGGGCTCCATTTGCAATTTCAGGATCAGTGGAATATTGTAGCTATGTCGGTACTATTCAGAACCGAGACCTTTACACCCTTCACCTCAAACAGCATTGACTACAATTCCCAATTTGAATTCATAAATTACAAAAACTACCTGTGGTTCCTTGAAGACATTCTAGTTCAATGGTGTAATCCCAGCAGTCCAGAGAGTTCAATGTTGTATTACCGTCCGAATCATCACTCATTTTTCTAAAATGTCGTGTTCGAAACAGGACACCCAACAAGTTTGCACTCAGTACCTACCTATCCAATAATACACTCACACATTATCCCAATAACAACAATTAATTTAGCTAAGTATTTGTAGCAAAATGTCAAGAGAACCTGATAAATAAGGAGATCGATATTTCACAGATCACTTGTTTTGTACCACCGTACCAGTACCAGTACCACAGCTTCCAGTACCACCTGATTGCAGAGCGAACCCGGTTTGCGCGATCTGTTCTGTCATGCGTCACGATCACCTGTTGACTGCTCGGTTGTTCCGTACTTACTCGGTACGACGAAACTTGGTCTCGGTCTTGGTACTACGGACTACGGACAGTACCGAGTATGGAGTGTTTGTTTGGACCCAGGTAAATGTTGTAATCTTGTTGTAATTGTGGAAGGGGTCATTAGAATGGAGAGAACAGATTCCGATAAACCCTAATCCGTAGATACATTCTCTGGTCTGGTAAGAGACAGTAAAATAAGATTTCCTTCAAACACCAAGGAAAAAACATCGTCAATACAATGTGACGTTGATGTTTCATATTTTCTTCAGGTAAATTCATGAAACGTTGGTAGAAAACGCTATTTGTACTACTTATTTTTACTATATTTAACGCTGACGTGCTGATGATTGAAATTCGTGTGCCGTGCCGTGTCTCATAATAATGCAAGTGGCAGCTGGAAATAGCAACTGAGTGAACTGAGCTAATGTTTTGGTGCTTTTTTGTACAACTTATTTCGATTATGAATATAGATTTCTATACCTCCCAAAAATGTTTTCGATATTTTCTTATGAGCGCCTTGCTAAATTTTTGAGTATAGGAAAAAAATACAATAATTTCCTTTACAACGGTGAAGTTGACTTGTATCATTTTTTCTTCAAAAATATTGATAAAGGGGAAAAAACCTCCTTCTGTTATGACCCATTTGAGTTCACGCATTGTTTTACATTGTTATTTTATCGAACCCATGTGATGAAAATTATACATTACCGAAGAATTTTTATGGATATGCTTTTATTTCATCACAAAATTATACATATATTATTTTAGATTTTAATTTTTCAAAGAAATGTCCTTGAGGCCATCTGCTTCTGGAATCTATCATTGGCTCACTTACATGCCATATATAAAGGGTGACATCCCACCTTCAACATCTTCCTTCCAGTAAATAATATGAAAAATCGAAGACAGGTCGAATTTATTTTCAAGGGGAACACTTGATATTGATATCTCTAGCACTCTTGGTTCAACCTCCTAAGAGGGGTAGATGTTTTACCCTCAGAATCTCAAATAGGAAAGGGGGTCAAAATAGGCACACCATTTTGAATTCTGTTTTCAACAGTACCATAGTTTACGATTTTCTGTTGGGCATTTTTCGAAAAATACCGTGTCAATAAGAAAACTTCCCACCCTTAATATCTTCCTTCCAGTAAATAATATGGAAAATCAGAAAGACAGGTCCATTTTGTTTTCAAGGGGGACACTTCAAATGCTTATTTTTAGCCCTCATAGCCCTTAGAGGGGTAAATGTTACCCTAAGAACCTCATTTGAAAAGGGGGTCAAGATGCACATTATTTTGAAGGGCGATCAATCCACTTTTCAACAGTTCCCTAGTTTATCATTTTTGATGAGCAGTTTCCGAAAAATAATAATTATTATGATTTGATTACTAAAATGGACCCTGATTGACAATGTATCAACATTTTCGCAGGTTTTATCAAAAACTGATCGGAGTGCTTCGTTTATCTCCTATTTGATTAGATTGCTTCCGAAAAAATTCGATCGATGACGTCACAGTGTCGGGAGTGTCGCCATATTGACTCTATACAAAATGTCTCCTGCGCCGCCATTTTGGGAACAAATGTCCACTCACGATATCTCATTGAAGAAGTTTTTTTTTTGCTCTATCTAATGGCGTGAAAATATATACAGAGTTGCATTCAAAATTCTTGAACTAAGCCAATTTCGGGTAAAACCGGAAGTGAAATTCAAATGTTCCATCATAGAAAATTTCGAAATTTTAACAAGAAAAACAACTGAATGACGCCCTGTCTACAATGATCTCGTTGTCACCCAGTATGTTTCGAGGTATGTTAACATGGGATTTTGATCTGGGAAAAATGTTCTCTACTTGATATTATCCGGAAAAGTGAGTACCCAGGCAAACAGATGACGAATGGTCACGTCACTGTGACGTACCCATGCAATTGGTGATTTTTCGTCCGAGACGTCACACACCAATTTATCACATCACTATGACGTACTATCTATGACGTGATATTCACGACATAGATAAAGTCGTGTCAACGTCATGTTTCCCTATAGTTCGGTATGCATGTGTATAAAATATATACAGGGCGTCCCAAACTCGATGGTCTATTAACAGTTTCTGATGGAGAACGAAATATTTTGAAAATTCGGTTTCTTGGGTAATCAGTTCTGATATATCGATCTAAAATATGTTGTTGCTAGTAGATGCGGCAACGCTGTAGCGCTGATTACCCAAGTCATTAAATTTTCAAGATAATCCTATTTTCCGTTCTCTAGAAACGTGTAATAGGCCATTGAGTTTGAGATATCCTATATATACAAGTGAAGTTGAAAGGAAGGGAACTTATCATTTGTATGTATACAAATGACAATAGGTTTACCTATTGAAAACGTAATTTTTATGACTATGCAGTGTCGTATCTATGACGTCAAAAAATCATGTCGGTGTGACGTACCAATTTGGTGGGCTTCGTCATTCAGAAAATTTGTTAAAAATTTGCTATACTGCATAACTTTTGATAAAAATACGAGTAACTGATCTCATCCTGATGGAGATGCGCACTAAAGGATAGCGCTGCTGAATAGACGATTGAAGGACACCGAAGGGACCACCAAGAAGTCTCAACAATGCATAATCAATATTTGATGTCATTAGAGGTCAGTGTAAACACCACTATGTTTGAGGAAACTTTTTCACGTTTTATCACCCGCAATGAACGCCATTTTGACATCATTCCTATGTCACCGATAGGTGAGTGACTGACGTCAATAAACGTGAGTAATATGACGTCATTGGGCTGTGACTTATTCAAGTTATTTATCACGTCATACGACATTAACTCCTGACGTCACCTTGGTCATTCAACTGACGTAAAAAGACGTTACTGAAATGTCATCTGGTTGCCTGGATAGTTCTCTGATAGACGAACAACAATTTAATATTAGACATCTTATCGATCATCACAACAAAAGTATAATACTTGTTTTTTTTCCTTGTCACAATTATTAATTCAAAACAACCTGGATTAGTATTTTCGCAACTGATGCTCACCACACCAGAATGTCAACCAGAATTTCTTGCTCCCGCTGCGTTGTCTGCAACATGCTAATGGTATTGTCTTCTGGTCTTCTCAGAATCTTGAAGCGGCCTTCCCGCTCAAATGTAAGCACATGGTCTCCACATTGGTCAACGATCTCTTTTCCCTGGTCACAAATCACCGGCAAAAATGTATAATGCAACAGTGGTTCTCATTCTAATTCTGCCTTATGGCCACCGCCCACTTCGAGGAATGTAGCGCCCTCAAAGATTTTTAATAATAATAATAATACATTATGTACCCTCTATGGGATAAGATCAACTTGGATAACTTCCGCACAAAATGAGTCCAAAAACATCAAAATCCGTCAAGTGATTCCTGAGACATTCGCGAACATACATAAAAAAGGTGCCTCTTTAAGCATAAAAATGATAAATTTTTTTTGAAAGAAAGAAATAAATATACATATAGCTACTTACTTACTACTTTTGAATTTAACACTAAATTCTTATAACTAACTAGCTGTCCGGCCCTGTTTCGCACGGTTGGTGTACCCATCATATGGAAAAAATGAGACATTTATTGCAGTCGTTCTGAGCTATACGCGTATCTTTTTTTTTATGTTCTGATTCCCACGGAAAGGGATATCCTCTAATGTTCAGAAAACATCGTGAGAACCAAGGGAAATAAGGTAGGAATTGGTGTTCTCGGGGAACACCTCCTTTGGCAATGTGTTCCAGTGCCTCGCTGTTCGTTGGATGAACGAGTCTTTGGAAAGAGATGTTCTGCAGGTCTCCAAAGTGACCACGAAGGGATGCGAAGCCTCAACTCGACGGGTTAATCTCACGGGGACTGCCAAGGGAGGAACAATTGTTGATATTTCAGAAGAGCATCGTCCATGAAACTATCTATGAAATAGAGCCAGATCGCCAACTTTTCTACGGTGTTCCAGAGAAGTGAGTGAGTTTGTGAGTGAGTTTGTGAGCGAGGCATCACCCACGAGACGAATTGCCCTTTTTTGGACAGAATCCAACAGTTTCAGGGTATGTTTGGGTGCTGCACTCCAAATGTGGGAACAGTATTTCAGGACAGGTCGGATCTGTGCCTCATAGGTCATGAGAGGATGACTGGAAGTGAAATAGCTCCTGGCCCGAAACAGAAAACCAAGTTTTTGGGATGCACTTTTTGTTGTTTTTTAAATTTTTTTTGTGATTACCTATACCTTTGAGTATTCGCACTACCTATTTACATTCTCTCAGTATCTTCTGTATTTTTTGTTGTTGTTTTACTTATTAAATATGTTAATATGTTATCCCAATCGAAATACCCATATAAAACTTCAACCCAGTCGGTTCAGCCGTTTAGAAGTTATGTGAAAAAGATAAGTACGGAAGGATAATTTTTGATACATTCTACGAAAACTCGAATGATATCATATTTCTTCTAATTCTTTCAAACGAGAAATTTCATCCTGAAAATAGATCAAAAATGGAAAAATATATCGAGTACTCCACTTTAAAACAATTTAAATGATTGAACTCCGCGAGATAGTGCCTTTCGTACGGAAATTTGATCATCAGTGACATCAGAATTGCTACAGACTGTATATAGAACTTTGGGTGGAAAAAAGGGTCTGATTCCAAATTTAATTTTCATCCCTATAT